TATACACAAAGAAGTCACATTTTCATTGGCCTGTAATGAGAGCAGGTTATGGAGCTGTGCACATGCCGAATGTGACTTTTTACTTCTCAGGATGGAGCTAAATACTTTGCTGAGTGGAGCTCAGGTAGGCACTACATTCATTGTTTTTAATGGGCTTTAATTAATTTTTTATTTTATTTTATTTTTTTTTTAGAAAAAAGAACTGTATAATAAAATCTTTTATCCGTGAAATGACTCAGGCATTTCCAAATTTTGCTTTCAGATCGATGTCCTCTCTACGGTGTACATAGTTTTACTCACTCCCAGGTACTCCTATGCACTTCCTCATATTATTATCATCATGAATTATGTAACAATATGTTTTGTAAATATGATCATAGCAAACACAAGAAACTTTATTTTGCATGTTATTACCTTTAGGACAGTTTCTAATTTTTTTTAAATCAACTAAGACCAGCAGGGCACCATCCTGAGATTTCAGAAACTTTCTCTTTGAATTCTCTGAGTTATCTTACATAATCCATCGTCATTGTCTGATATGTTTGAGTTTATGTTATTTAGTGTAGATGATACCTGTAATTTAAACACTTCCTTAAAGATCAATGATACTCCTAACTCTTTGTTGAAAAGTCTTTGTGTTTCTTTTTGTTTCTTGACAAAAGCAAAGCAAGAATAGGGGAGAGAGGAACTTTTTAATGAATTACATTGTTTGTAATTGTTGTTGTTGACATGTTGCCATATGTCTAAGACATGTGGCAACATGTCTGTTTACCCCCCCCAAAACGCATCATGCTTTGTGATGTTAACCTGGATGTAAGCAAATTTAGTCTATCACTATCACTAAACTGAGATATCGTACTTTAGTCTTTTCTTGCCACTTTCTATTTCTTCTCCACTTCTCAAAAGGCAAATATTGAACTTTTTTATTTATCTGCATTTATCAGCTTTAGTTACTTTATAAAACCATAAGCTCACCCATTTGCTGCAGAAAATTTAATGGGAATCATTTTGCTGTTAATTTGAGTTATCTTTCATATAAAAAACAAACAACAACAAAAGATGTTGGCATTACAATTGTGACAGCTGCTGCTTTTCCTTTTCATAATTTTAACACGTTTTAATACATTTAAAAATCTAAGCATTACCTATATTTACCCAGAGTAGTTAAGATTAGCTATACTTTAAGTTAATGCAGCAAGAAAATCCTGATCTTGCATGAGTACTAATAATAATTATATTCATTAATGCAACAGTGTCACTTTTCAGGGCTGTTGACTTCTTTTAATACTAATACTAATACTAATAGTGAGTACATTGTTACAATACTTCTTAGCTAAGTAACATTTTCATTGTAAGACTTCTGCTTGAATAATAGTGGTATTACCTGAATAAAGGGTATGAAAAGTTAATGTAACCTGAGCAGTATTCGGGTGAACTGTGGTTTGGCTCAATGTTAGTTGTTCATTTCTTTTAAACTTTCCTTCAAATAAATACCTGCGGTCATTTAATAGTTTACATATTTCTTATTAACGTCAGTGTGATTGGGAGTTTCTCTGTCCTGGTGGTTTCCATAGCAAGATGGCAGCATCTAAAAGAGCAGGTGAGTCTAGGTGTATGCATTACTAATGGATTTAATTTTTAATTAAATTAATTATTACTGTGAATAAGGAACTATGTAGTTTGTCAACACTGCAAAGGCTTTCATGCGTACTGTTTTGCAGGTACACCTCCTGGTGCAGCTTGCTCTCGCCGACCTCCTAGCTGCTCTGATCTTGATGTCCACGAGTGTCATGAACAAAATACCGTTTGACAACAGTATAGTCATCTGCCAATATGGCCTGCCGCTGTCACTGGTGAGCAATAGTTTATTTCATTGTTTGATCGGGCTTTTACCACCGCAAATAAATCATTAACAAGATTGCGTTTTGGTGGGGGAGTAGTTTAATCTTAAACAGGTTGGCAAAGCTTAGGTGGTTTCCAATTCCTTTTGGTACTTCCAGCTATAACAATCAACATTTACAGAGTAAAGAATCAGATTACTGTCTAATAATATAACGTTTTCTAAAGGCACCGAGGACATATCACGTAGTTCAAGCAGTAAAGTAAATCAAAAACATGTGTTCCTTATATTGCCTCTATAAAATGACATAGTGAGCAGTTTTGCTGTGTCACGTTCCCTGTCATGCAAACATGTCCACATTCGTCCCTCAGACCGAGAGGAGGAGCTCCACATGCTTTTCATAACAGTTGTTCTCAGCATAAAATTCTAAGTGGCAACGTCTATTGTGAACTCGGTTGACTAAAGTCTTTTGAGTTCTCGTTAGAATTTAGATTGATAAGCATTAAGGACAGTAGATATTGATTGTACGTAAAAGCAACAGAAAAAGAAAAGAAAAGAAAAGAATGTATTGTAGGACCAAACTCTCAAATTCCTCTAGCTCAGATTGTGGAATTCTTTCAAAATGCAGATATGGAAAATATTTAACCTTTTTAAGAGTTCAATATAAAAAAAGAAAAAAAATGGACTTACCCGGTTTCTAACTTAAGGTTACCTTATTTTGGGGTTCAGAGTCTTTATGCACTCCAACAGACTTTTTAAAGTCCAAATTTAGTTTACATGCTATAATATATAGACAGGGGTCCCCAACTCCAGGCCTCGAGGGCCGGTGTCCTGCAGTTTTTAGATGTATCCGTGAGCCAACACAGCTGATTCAAATGGCTAAATTACCTCCTCAACATGTCTTGCAGTTGTCCAGAGCCTGGTAATAAACTAATCATTTGATTCAGGTGTATAGACCCAGGGTGAGATCTAAAACCTGCAGGACACTGGCCCTCGAGGCCTGGAGTTGGGGACCCCTGCTATAAGATAACAAACATCCACTGCAAATCCTAAAGGAGCATGGTTTTAAATCATTTTTATATGACCCTACATTTCAAAATTCAGCTAATGTAGCATCTCATTTTTATGTCTGCAGGTATGTCGGCAGAGGTTTACTGTACCTTACATTTACATTTCAATAAATAGCTGTATTTATACTTCATATCCTTCTTATACAAAGAAGCATGTTTAAAAAAAGAAAAAAATATCTCATTTCATTTTACAAGCAGCAGATGTAAAATCAAATAATAAAATGTCCTCACGTTGCTTCATAAAGATCGTCCTCGTAAAGATAAAGGTCCTCTTGCACGTTTGTCGGACACTGGTTCTAAGAATCAGCATAACCAACTGAGAAATCTTCTTCAAGTATAAAGTTGTTGTTCTCTGAGAACCAGAGCTCATCAGTATTCACATAAATTATATTTAACTGACATTTACTCTAAGGTAAATATTAATGCTTGGTCTAAAATTACTTTATTGGTAAAACTGTCACATTTTGCGTTGTTCTTTGTGTTTTGTTCCAGACGTTTTATTTCATTTCATTCCTGCTGGTGGTCGTTTACGCCTGGAAGTCAAAGAATGCAATCCAAGGATGGAGAGAAAGACCAGCGGATGATGATCTGGTGAGGCATTCGCTGCATCTGGTGATCATAATTTGTCCAGAAACCAGATTCACTGACATTTGCTTGTTTTGCAGAATACATGTCGAAGACCAGAAATAGTCATACCTGTGTATGCCATTGTGTGGTAAGTTTTAACCACTTTTTAAAAAAAATAAATGAATTAATAAATGCTTTAGTTTTTACCTAACCCACCAGATGGTATCCCATGTGTGCACAATTTAATTCTTCTTCTCTATCTTCTGCCCAATATAACAGGTTGATCCCACTTGCACTTTACTTAGCATATGTGCTCACTCCTTTCATGAAAGCTACTTTGCTGATTCCAGCTACCAGCAGCTTGCCAAATCGGGTCTTCGGTAACGATAGCACGTACTGCACCAGGTGAGCACACAACCCAGAGATTCAGCCTCCTTCAAAATCGTTCAAAGACGTCACAGCAGTGAAATGGGTCTGTTCCCTCGTGTTTCTGACCTTTTTTGATTTTCTCTTTTTCACAGTTGTATTTTGTTCTTGCACGTCTGGAGGGAGTCCTGCTCAGATGTTGTGAGTGTACAGCTGTCTTATGAAACCCTTTAACACACTTTCTTTTATCGAGGCCCATGTTGTAGTATGTGTGCGTATAGTCTCTGTTTAACAGAATAATAATGCTCTTTAGCATTGTTACATTTTGTATAAGCATATTTTTGATACATAATTCTCTTTTGCCCACAGGAGATAATCCATGACGTTTTCATCAGAGCTTTTCTTTTCATTGTGGTGATACCGGTGCTGGTGTCTTGCTCTGTGAGTTACTAACAATCACATTGCTGTAACATAACAAGCAAGTTTAAATACCAGTGTAATCTGATGAAACAAATGTTTTTTTTCCTGTTTTGGTTCAGATTATTTACTATAAGGTTGGTAAGTGGTATGAAAGACGAGATCCGGAGGGGCTTTTTCCAGTGGAGGGAGATGGGCGTTCAAGAAGAAGAATGAAAAGAGCAATTTCTACCTCAAGGAATATGGTGACAGTCATCCTAATCTGCTGGGCACCAGGTACACAAACGCATGCACAAAAATAATGTAAATATCAACTTTAAGACAAAATTAAATTGATGTTTCTTCTTCTTGTAGCGCTTTTCCTCATCCTGCTATCTACCGTGTTGATGAGAACAAACGTTGAACAATACAGTTTATTTGGTGTTTATATGCTACAGGTATGTTTTAGTTACAGCTTTTCAATGAGTAGGTTAAAATGTCCTCAGATGGCAGATTTGCAGGCTAAAATATTGCTTTTGTTTACTGCAGGCTGCCAGCGTGTCTCTACAAGGTTTCCTGAACAGCATGGTGTACGCCTGGAGAAGGCCCAACTTCACAGAGGCTGTTCTTGGAGAGAGCACACCCTTGGTGGCCTATAATCACATGCCCTTTTTTGATGAGTCATTGAGGACCTCGTTTTAATGCTTTGGACAATAAACACATGGATGGACCATGTCGTGCTGCAATACATCATTCTGGCCTTAGGAGCCCGGTCTGTCTGCACACTTTGGACTGAAAGGAGTTTTTTTGTGGACTGAAGATGAAAAAAACACCGAACAAAGTGATGAAGCAAACTCAAAGACTTTATACAAGCTGTTGCTATATTTTCATTTTCAGCTGCTGATGCTGACGTGTACTAAGTCATAGTGCAGCAGCACGTTTTCTTATCAATGAGGCCAAAAAACTGCTTGTATAGTTTTATTAAAGATTTATAAAGATGTTATTTTACAATTACAGACCTATTTGTGTGTTTGATTTCTATTTTATTATGTTTTACCACATTTATTTATTTTGATCAATGAAGTGCTTTTTATTCCTGACTCCTCAGCATCATCTGTAGTACAAGGCAAAAACTGTGCTAAACATTAGACGCCACTCTTTCCAATCATAGTTACAGTAAACATTTTTTATAAACATTTCCCAAGCCTTCTTGTCTGTCTCTGGAAACTCTGAATGGTGGGAAAACTGCATGCCAACCTGCTGCTCTAATGTAAGTTATCACCTGACCTACTGTACTGCAATCTAAAAGTAAACTTGAGGTTCATTCTGGTCAAGCATTGTTGTTTTTTTCCCATCCCAGACACTCACCTGCAGGTGATAGATGGATGTCACGAAGCATAAGCAAAAGTGTTTGTAGAATATTACAGTTTTAATTTGAAAGGAATCAGCATAACCCACTGTGACAAAGTAAAAATGTTTTTATAAATTAATTAAAAGTAGTAAAAAAAAAACAACAACAAACAAATGATTATGGCTTTCAAACTATTTGTGGTGACTATAAGCACACAGGGCTTGTAACAATCTAAAAAAAAATCAAACAAAAAAACCCAACTTAAACTTCTTTAGCTCCTTAGTGCAGATGTTTTCCCAGCGTCGATCAAACTGAGAAAAGAATGAGACACACCTTTGAAGACAGGCTTAACTATTGTCACACAGAGAGTTATTATATAGCAATAATCCTGCATCTCCTGTACCTTTTGACCTATTTCTCTGGAGTCATATATTACCTGAGGTGTTCCAGATATCGTGCCTATTCATGGATATTGAGATAAAAAAAGAAAAAAAAGACTGTGTACTGGAGCTGATAATGCATATTCCCTACAAACAAGGTCAACTTATGGAAGCATATAAAACAGAGTACATTATCATGACTGACCCATTTACGTTATCTATCACTTGTTTGATCGTAGCTTTTATTGTGTACAAAGTAGCCAGTGCATAGAAACTTAACTGGAAGTCTTTAATCGTGAGTTTATAAGTTTATACTTAGAGGTCAAATGAGAATTGTATAACACTTATAAATACCAGCACACACACTAGCACTGAGAATGCACTGTCAGGCTTTTGTCTATGTCTATGCAGACAAACTATGTTTCCCCATTAATTATTGGTCCAGTGAATTTTTTTGAGGATGACAAATGAACTGCAGAGGTATGCTGACTACACCGCAAGGCTTTCCAAATGAGGTTTGTGCCAGCTACAAGGTTATGTAAGAGGTTCTGTGGGAATTTCAGAGACACTGTGTTTAAGATCACAACACATGAAAACATTGGAATACAGCATTTTAGATCCACTGTGAAACCAGGCGAACCATGTCCAATTTTCTCCATTCAAACACTTTCTTTGAGGTCAGTACTCACGTGGTTTTATTTCTTATTAAATGGTTTAATTCCTAAATACCCTCCTTGCTAATTAACAGGACTATGTTGGCTTCTCCCCCGCTGTGTTAAGATCTGATAACCCATTTGTTTTTAAAAGATTGTACAAAGAAACCTTGTTTTCTGGTTTTCATAAGGTCAGGTGTGTCACTGAAGAGCGACATAATTGTAAAATTTCCAACCTGTGTACCTGTGCAACATGCCCAAAAGGGGATTGCAGAACAACCAGACTTTCCTTCAGTAAAACTAAAAACCGACTTTAACTCGGAGCTGACTTTTCCGAAGTCAGAGGTGCGGAAAATTACCTTTTCGTTTTTAACCAATGTAGTTTTTTTCACTAATACTCAAAATGTAATCACGCTTCTTCTACACACTGACTCAAAACATACTTCCACAACATCTATTCGCGTTACAGTTAAATGTATTCAACAAAATACATCAAGACAAGAACTCTATACAGCATTTTCTTTTAGTTTCACTTTTACACTGGTGTCAGAGACTTGATAGCAGCTCTCTGTTTGCTGTTTCAGTATATAAGCAGATTTGACAGTGCCTGAGGATCTTCTTGTTGCTCCTTAACAGAGCCTATGTTTTCCAGCCTTACTGAGAAGAAGGAAAGTGTACTTGCACAAGCCATTGGTTTTCTTTCTTTTTCCTTTTTCCTGTAAATTTGAAAAGCTCCTCCCTAAAATCGAGGCAGTGTTTACCTACCCTAACGCAGATCTTGTGTTTTCTCCTCAAAAGTCCATGGACAGGGATCTTTGCTGGGCCATTTCATAGCCTCTTCGGCTTCCGCCTCTCCGCACATACACATCATACCTTCCGTCCTCCTCCTCTTCTTCCTCTTCCATTACTCTGTCCTGCCGCCCCAGAGCTCTCTCTCCCATACCATGATGGCCCTGTATTCGGCCTGATTTCATACTGGGCCAGCTCTTCTTCCTCAGACTGCTGTTGAAATCTCTTAGAGGAGGCAAGGAGTTTTGGAAGTCTACTCTGAAAGGTGGAAGCTCCATGGATCCCCTTCCCAGGCCTTGCGCCCCTAGGCTGCCTTTAATGGAGTTGATAGAGGCCAGAGAGCCACAATGATGTTCGTGTATGCAGCGCGATCCTGACGAGGATCTCCTGAGCGCTTGTAGGGACTGGAGCTCCTCTGACAACTCCCCAAGGTCTCTTGAAGAAATCTCCTGTGAAGGACAACGTTAATAAATTAGTAGTTTTAAAGCGATATAAACATGTACCAATAATATAATGTGTAAAAGCAATAAAACTGACCTTGTCTCTGAGATTAAAGAGTTCATAGTGAGGAGGGTCAAACACCTCCTGAAAGTCAGCACGAGGAAACAAGTTGTTCTTACGAACCAACACCTTTAAAATATGACAGGGAATCACTATTTTATTTGTAGTTTCTATGAGAAAAATCTAGTGGTATGATGTTAGAAGAATTCGACAACAAATTTTCTTAAATACCTTCTTACGTGGCTGCTTGACTTGCACCAGAATGGAGACAATTAGGAGTAACAGCACCACCCCCGTAGACACACAGATTATTGTCCCGTGAGTCTTTGTGATCTGGTGAAAAAGACCTTTGTTCTTTTTCTCTGGAGGATTGAAATGACGACATAAAGAGTTAAAAATATCAGAGGCTTTCAAAGGCACCGAGAGTACATCATCACTTGTTCCCTCCCGTGTTAACACAATTCGTATCTCTGGATGCCAGGAACATTTCAAAGCAGTTACTAAAAGCTAAGGCACTGATAAACACCCATCCCAGCACTAGAAATGCTTAAGATCCACTTATTAGCCAAAAAGCCTTGAAGGCCTTTCAGTTGGAAACGCGTCAAAACTATGAGGTTATGCTTTTCCTGCCAAGTGGAAACACATCGATATTAACTGTTCTGTAGTTGCTGCAGCCGGTGTGTGCGTTTCATAATGATCCTCAAGGAGACTCAATGTGACACAACAAAGGCAGACATGACATCCATCATTTCACAAAGCATGACAGAATTACACAGCATAACACATCACAGCAGACCAAAGAGAGCATTTCTGCCAAAGGGCTTCAGCAGAATCGAGGTACCTTTGCAGTTGCTTTCGTCCCAAGGAAAGACACAGTTTTGTATGCCGTTGCACACCAGAGAAGTGTTGATGCACATGTTAGTGTGGCAAAAGAACGCACTGCTCTTACAGGGTGCTAAAACACAAACACAAGTGTATATGAAGTATGTGTACAACCTGACAAAGCATCGAAAGCTACAAGCAGAAAGAATGTGGCATGTCCTTATCAGAGATCCAACTATAAAATGCTTATCAGAACTATTATTATTTCCTATTGCTAAGGCTTACTATATAAGGTGCAGTGATTAAAAGAAACCACCAAAATATGCATTGTATCTTTAATACATGTACTTTCCCATCGCAGCTGAAAAAGCCAAATGATAGGCAGGGGGGGAAAGAATAATCTGAAGGAGTCACTCACGGTCAGCAAAAGATGTGAACAGCATCCGGAAGCGGCTGAGACGGCTTGTCTCATCAGCCCACATCCTCACTACTCCCACACCAGTGTCCAGCATAATGTCATTAGCTACTGTACTACAAAACTTGGCCTGCAAGAAACCACACACCACTTTCTTTTATGGATGTTGATGTGCGGACTCAATGAGGCCATGGTCTGTAGAACAGTTGCTACATACTTGTGATTTAAATATGGCATTAAAAAGGAGCATGTATGGCAAAGAAAGAAAGATAAATCCTGTAGCAGAAGAAGAACCTCAGACCTGAAAGCATAGTGCAATGTAATGCGCAACAAACTTAGTGCGTCAGGCAGAGACAGAGTAATATTTATGATGTTATGCAAAGAATTACCTTTAGATCCTCAATGGCACTACTGCCATCATAAACAGCCACAAAGTTCTTCTTACATTCATTGGAGTTTTCCATCTGGTATTCCAAAAATCGCAGGTAAATCTGGAATGAGTAATGGAGAGGGAAACAGTGTACACTTTTCATTTTTCACACACAACCTGATTCCAAAAAAGTCGGGATGCTGTATAAAAAGTGAATCCAATGATTTGTAAATCCCATAAACATGAAAAACAGGTCAACTGTTTAAACTGGGAACAATATTCCTGCCATGTCCATAGAGGTTGGGGTCTACCACACCAGGCAAGACCCCAGCTGCACGCTGGAGCTAGCAGGCAAGGACATACATGGAATGCTATCACCAAGTGGCTGTTGTAGTCTAAAGGGCCTGGAAGTGGCCTGGAAGTCCTGTGGTCAAAATGAGATACGACCCCCAGGGAGGTTGAGGATGACTGAGCTAAGATCCTGTGGGACTTCCAGATACAGGCAGACAAACTGGTGATGGCTAACCAACCAGACCTAGTAGTGACAGCTGTAGTGATAGATGTAGCTCTATTGAGTGATAACAACATCAGGAAAAAGGTACGCGAGAAGCTCGAGAAGTACCACGGGCTGAGAGAGGAGCTCAAGAAGACGTGAAGGGTGAAGGCAACAGTGGTACCCCCGTACGGGACGAGTGCCTCCAGCAGATCTCAGGAACAACATCTGAGATGTCTGTCCAAAAGATCGCCGTCCTAGGAAGGGCAGGATCAGCTGCTGGACTTTTAGGAGAGGAATGTTGTTCTGTTCATGCCTGATGTTGGATTCTAGCTGCTCAGCAGTCCTGGGCCTTCTTTGCTGTAGTTTTTGCTTAATGATTCAAATGTTTTGATTTAATGAAAAGTCTCTGCTGCAGACAGGCCGGTTTGGCATCCGAGAAATTCTGCTACAAAGCTATGATGTTGACATATGCGTGCAGTACATTTAGTTTTGTCTTGCTGAAATATAGACGGCCTTATCTGAAAAAGATATCATCTACATGGTACCTTTACAGCCACTTCCATTTACTATTTCACTTCCATACCATCAAAGATTCATGCTTTTTAAGTCTGCGCTCATAACAAAACAGATGGTCCCTCTCCTCCTTAGTCCAGAGAAAGCAGCGCCCAAGTTTGATTTTGGAGCTCATGCAGTTATTTACATGGCGGACTCACACCTGTTTTTAATGCAGTGCCATCTGAGAGCCTGAAGATTATGGGCATCTGTCATGTTCCAGAGTTTGAGCCTTATTAACTGAATACTATTATTTTATGGTTCTTAGGTGACTGTTAAACTTGATCTTTATGTATCTTGGGCCTTTCAGTTTATTTTCTGGTCTGGGTCGGTTTAGCATAGTTGTTTCATGTTTATTTTCCTGGCTTTACCTTCATGTCTTTGTCAAATATGAGTGTGCTAAGGTCTTATCTCTGTGGTAGGTATGTGACTTCCTTTTTTGTGTTTTATTTCTATTTTCACTTCTGTTGTCTCTAATTTGTCTTTAGCTGTTCCTCATCTCCTACCTCTTCCCAATCCCCTTGATTAGCCCTTGGTGTGTCAGCTTGTATAGACAGGCTGAGTGACTCCCTTTGTCTCTGTCTGTATATTAATGTTTCTCTCCCTGTGTGTTCCCAACTTTCAGTTGCCTTCTTAATGGACTTTAGCATTTTTGGTTCTTGCTACAACTTCCAAAGATCGAGGTCTGCCTGTCTTTGGAGTCTGCATTTGGATCCTCAATCTGCTAAACCATGACAGCATCCAATTCTGGCTTTCAGCTTTTTCCCTTGCACAGAGATTTCTCCAAATTCTCTGAATCTTTTAAAAATGCACTGTAGATGATGAAATATTTAAACTCTTTACCATTTAACGTGTTCTCTTGTAAATAACATACAGCATGAGATTTGCAAAGCATTGAATTCTCTTCCTATTTACATTTCACAGCTTTTTACAAAATGGGTTTGTAATTCAGCTAGTTTCTGTTTGCCAACAGAAGACATTTGAATCATCACTGATATAAATCATTTTGACTCAGCTTTACTGCAGATGTACTTAAGCTGACTGTCAGATTATCAATGCACATGTTTATTATTTATATGCATAAGCTGCGGATTAGTAGTTGCTTGATATTTAAAAAAAGGTTGTTTGGGTTGTTTTTTTTTTCAAATAATGTAAAGAATATAGAAAAATACATCACAGCAGATATGGAGAGGGTGAAGGGTGAAAGCAGAAAGCAAAATAAGCTGCAGGCTGCAGACTCATCTTTCATTCCACTGTACTGTTTGTCATTTTGTTCCCAATGAATTATATCCCCTCTCCTTAAATTCATTTTGTTGAGAAGAAATGTTTCTCCTTTCCTTTATTTTCCTTTCCTTTCTGTTTTTCCTTTTTTACAGACTTTCAGCTATCACTCAATTGAAAACGCAGAAATGGAGAACTGGATGTATAAATGCAAATTTAACAATGTCGTTTTAATATCTTACCCTGTTCTTTGTTGGGGCACGTATAGTCCAGATGCAGTCCACTGCTTGGTCTGGCTTCACTTTGGACTCTTCTTCCACCTGACTTGAACGGATTACACCGTCAGCTCCAGACAGCTCAAACTGACAGTCTGACCCAGAGACAACGACAGTTGGCAAGAAGCAAAGTGGAAGAAAAAAAAGGAGGACATGTGATCAGATGGAAAGTAACAACTTTATTTCACATGGCAGTCTAAAGATGTACACCTGAAGCTGCATGGATTTTCTTAAACATGCCGTTGCACTACCTGGGATGGGGTTTAAAAGTCCTCCCACATGCAGATGAAATTCAGGATCTTCGGGGTGAGAAATAAGAAGAGCACAGAAATTGTTTTTTGAGCAGTGTGAAAATGGTACATCCACCACTCTGCATTTTAGTCACCTGCAGCAAAGCTGTACTGGACCTGGAAGCCAGTCCCCTCCAGCTCTTCATCACTGAAGAAGCGGATCCACATGAAGCGTCCGCTGGACAGGATGAGTCCAGGACTGGCTGAGCCGCAGAAGCGATTGATGAGCGGGGAGAAACTAAAGGGACCGTCCCGCACTTCGATGTTGTCGAAGCGACATTCGAACGACGCCTCGATGTGGAAGACTTCGTCAAACATCAGCTCTATTCTCTGGCGAGGCAGGGCTGGGGAACAATTGGCACTTTTTTACTGTCAGAGCCGATTCAGGAATACAAAACGCTACCATAAAAACGGCAACAAGAAAGACACGTTTGCGCCTTTCAGATACAACCCTGTCTTGTATGTTCTTTATATATCATTACTGGTTGAGAAGTTAATGAACGATACATTAAAATAACACAGTTGTGTCTTTAATGACAAAAGAGGAAAATAAGGCATTGCACATAATAGGTTTTATATGTGTCGATGGCATCGGATTACCGCAGAGCCAATCCGAGCCAATAAAAGAATACATCCCAATATCTGAACTGTTTTTCAGCTTGGGCTGTGTGCTTCTCATCAGTTACCTTCCAGCACATAGAGGCACTCCTTGTTTGGAGGGTACGTATTTGGGTAGTTTGGGGAATTGAAAGTGCCGCCATCAGTGGTTCGTACCCAGTTTCCACAGTGACGCTGTGGTCGTAGAGAAGGTTTAACTGCTTTCGACCCTGCACCTGAATCTGCACATTATGAAAACCAAGCAACACAAGGCATTCAAACCTACAAAAAATTATCCGGACAAAAGCTGCTGACAGCTAAAATGCAGTTATGGACACATTTGTGTAATAAATAAATAAATAAATAAATACATCGCAAATTAAAGAAGAATATGGAAATGTATAAAGGAGTCCATTTGTCAAAGGAGCAGAGTAAAGATTGCAATCTTACCTTTAATCTTTTGCACCAGTGCAAATCCCCCCTCAATGAATAGGAGAAATATCCAGACTGTACAGAAGTCAACAGTGTGTGAAATCATAGTAAGGAGAGGTACAATCAAGGAATAAAGGAAACGAGAGCTTAGCAGGATTTGTTTGTCTGTGCTTTATGTTTCAGTACACTCAGCAGAATCCTTGAATGTATATTAAAGGCAAGGGCGTGGGGTTCAAAGCTTGGGAGTGAGAGAACAAGCTACTTCTACCATCTGCTTCCTTAACTCCTACTCTTATCTTTGCATCTTCTTTTTTTCGTTAAGATTTATGCTGGGTGAGAGGCGGGGCTGCTGTCTGCCAAGAAGCTGTTCAAGGACATCTAATGGTAAATATGCATTAAAAATTTTTTAAAAAGTTGCTTGAAATCATATCTTGCACCACATTTGTACCTATTACATAAAATGTGACCCAAATAAATCATCTTGCCCAGGGGCACCAGTCTGCTTAGAACTTGCTTTGAGTTTTCACCAAAGTGGCATGTTGGCATGTTGCTGCACATCCAGGGACAAAAAGCAAAACAAAAACGACAGTTATGATATAGGCTGTGGACGTTCGTGCTGCATGTTCTGCCTGTCACAGCTTGTGACCTGGGAAACAGGCAGATTTATAACTTCGGACTCTGTTTTCAATTCATTATTGTTGTACAATAAGGTAAATAAGATGTGTGGCTCACTGCCATGCTGCATGTTAAATTGACTTGCAGCCCTTCCTCTGAGAACATATTAAGTGGGTGCAGAGGAGGAACAGAGGTAGCAACAGCAGCCCAAATCCTCCACTCGCTCAGGCACTGAGCCACCAGACGCTGGCGCAAAAGGGGAAAAACGGATTTCCTACTTTGATTTTTTTTTAAAAGAAAAATCCGTGTTGCTTTTTTTTCTTACTTTTTTAGAGTAACTGCACCGAGCAAGCGTGGGGAGCTGTTACTTCAGCACCACGAATCGATGCACAAGAGAAACTTTCAAAACAAAGAAAAAAAAAACCCGATTTCTTTGCACAACGTAACTACACAAACATGTCAGAAAACAGCAAAAAAAAAAAACCCTCCCCCTAAAAACCAGACTTGAGACGCCCGCGTTTCTAACAACTCTCTGTTTTCCCCTCAGACGTTTAAGTAAAGAAATACGCGATCTGCTCTAAAGTGCGAAAATATGGATGATTTCTCTTACCTGCGTACATCCTCGCCGCTGAGCTCCTTTTATGAGTTTTTCTGTTTTCAAACTTGTCCCTCACATCCCCTGTTTATGTCAGTAGTACGGATTACCGCACGTTAAAACTACCGATTTAGAAAATCCGAACTTTCACCTTTCCATCCTTGTCGTGTTGGTCAAACTGAGAGCGGCTCAGGTGCGAAAAAGAGCAGACGAACTTGTGATTCGTCATCAGAATCAGAAGTTTGCACAGTTTTCCTGCCCAGCTCGGTGTATGAGACTCAGCCTCAAACAAACGGATGATCAGCCTGCAGCTGCTCGCGGTTTAAAGATTGAGCTCAGTTGGCGCTAGACTGTAGGGGAAAGCTGATTGCGCATGTGCCTCATCAGTTATGAGTATTGGTGATATGATAAACCTCCAGTCGCCCGTTTGGCATGGGGATGAATTAAATTGGGATTTCCCATTTTTCAAATTTTAATTAGCTGATACTGGCTGCCGCACTCACTCTCCCAGACAGACAGACAGACACACACACACACACACACACACACACACACACACACACACACACACACACACACACACACACACACACACACACGGCGGAGGGACCGTGCCAAAAAGCTCACTGAGCATAAGTCTGTCGGTGCATTGCTATGAATTCCTATTCAGAGCAGAGAACATGGACACATTGGCTCTAGCCTTCTCATTTTTCACCAAGGACATTCATCACCTAAAGCCCCAAAAAGCTGGCTATAGAGCCAGAGAGAGATGGAAATGGAAGCCAAGTGTAGGTGGGATAGAGATTTTCCTTTGATGTGTTAGCTTTTAAGACAAAAACCGACTCACCACATCCACTGGAGGATTTGTACTGTATCTTATAGGTGAATGTACTTGCTTTAAATCAGAAGCTTGTCACAAGAAGTGGGACATTTGCCAGTTCTCCCTTCAGTTGATCAGTTGTATCAAAACCTTCCTATTCAACTTGTTTTTCACATTCAATGCATGTTTACAACCAATCAAAGAAGCAGACAAATCTGAATATATTAAGTTGTTATACCATTTATGAATACTTTTGATCTGATAGTGGAGGATATTCCTCAGACTTTCCTTTAGAAGCTACAGGGAAATTTCTTTAAGTAAAAAGATAAGTACTATCAAGAGTTTAAAGTACTTCTACTTGTTACGAGTAATAACATATAAGAGTATACGTTTTTAATATGTATTTAGTCATTGGATTGATATTGCTTATTTAATAACATTCAAGCTGAATTAATGTAATTTTAGCTTTTTTAATCAA